GGGGACAATGGGAGAGGAGGAGGAGCAGGGGGAAGAGGGGGGGGGAGGAGGAGGAGGGAGGAGGAGGAGGGAGGAGGAGGAGGAGGAGGGGGGAGGAGGAGAAGGAGGAGGAGGAGGAGGAGGAGGAGGAGGAGGAGGAGGAGGAGGAGGAGGGGGAGGATCGCGTTTTGGGCGCTCGGTAAAAATTTGCCACCCTCAGGCGGCACATTGCGACCACCACGGGCGCGCTGACCTTGGCCCCTGCAGACAATTTCTCGGGCCACGAAACACGAGACGGCCCCCCGGCGCCCCCCGAGGACCGTGCCTCGGAGGGAGCGGAACCTGGGCGTGGCCGTCTCGGCCGCTCCGACGAGCCCCTCGCTGTGGTCGGAGGCGGCACGATGCCGATGATTAGAAGCTCGGGCAGAGCTGCGGCCCGCGTGGGAACTATGTACGAACGTGCAACTATAGCATGCTTCCTGGAAATGATGGGGCCCTGCTCGAGGGGCTCCGTGGAGTGCAGAGGCACTTGCCTGGCGGCGAAAAAGTCTCGCATTGCCATGTGCGCGACGATCAAAAACGGGTCTTGCGCGAGATGACGCAGCGACCTTACGCAGAAGCTCACGCGGGCCGCTGGTGCAGCACGATGTGTTGGAAGCGAGGGCGCTTACGCGCGAGCTTGCGCGGGCAACTTGCGCGCCAGTGTCGGCGCAGACGACCCCGTTTCTTGCGTCGCTCAAGCGGAAGACGTGCCCATGTATTAGTGATCGCCAGCGGCGATGACACCTTCGAAGCCACGGGCGGCAGCAAGCTGTGTCTGCACCACTTCTCACTCCGCTGCCCCAGGGATCCCTCCCAGGCCCACTCGGCGCCCGTGCCAATTCGCCCAGGATCGCCCAGGCCCACCAATGTAATGGGACGCCCAAGGACATACTAGTACTACACGTCCTCCTTGGAAGCGCGCGTCCGACCCGAGCATATGGTATACCCATCTTGTAGTAGATCGTTTCTCGAGCGGTCTGGCGGGAAAGCGCCCGCCACGACGCATGTACTATAAGATTCCTCGGTGCACGCGTCGCCCATGGAGGGGCGACGCATAGATATGATACTGAGACCGAAGAAAAAAACCCAAAGCATCATCTTTTTAGGTCTATAGGGCTATGGGGCGATATGGCTATAGGACCATAGGGCTATAGGTCTATAGGGCTATGGGGCTATAGGGCTACTAGGCGATAGGCATATTAAGCTAAAGGGCTGTAGGGCTATAGGGCGTTGGGGCTACAGGCTATAGGGCTATGGGACCGTAGGGCTATAGGTCTATAGACACATGTAGAACTATAGGGCTATAGGGCTATAGGGAGATTGGGCGATAGAGCTGTAGGGCTGTAGGGCTACAAGGCTATGGGGCTAAAGGGTGAGAGGGCTATAGGGCTATAGTACTATAGGGCTACAGTGCTGTGGGGGTATGGGGCTATAGGGCTATAAGAGTGTAAAGCTATAGGGCTATAGAGCTATAGCGCTATTGGGCTATAGGGCTCGAAGGACTATAGGGCTTTAGGACAAGAGGGCTCTAGAGCCATAGGGCTATAGGGCTATCGGGCTATAGGCCTATACGGCTATAGCGCTACAAGGCTACCGGGCACCTGGGCACCCGGGCACTGGGGCACTCGGGTACCCGGGCACCCGGGCAGGCCGCCGAAATCGGCGGCGCACCTCACCCGGACACCCGGGCGTGCCGCCGAAATCGGCAGCGCACCTGACCGAACCATATGAATCCGCTTGGACCCCTACAGAGGCAACCTCTGATTGGGGAAGCATGTTGGGGTGACGCCGATGTAAAACGAAGGCAAGATGACGATACGTTCGGGTGATACGGATTCTCTGTGAGAGCTGGCTGGAAGATGCCTCAGGCGCCGCAGCAACTCCCAAAGCGCGTTCTGGAACGCTCTGTGAGTGCTCCGGACCGCCCTGGAGCGAGTGATATCCTCCCTGGCAGCACGCGCTCTGCCGCAGCTGGGCCCACCTGGCAGCCCGCGTGGACGCTGGGCGGGCTCGGGCGCCGAACGGGCTCAGGAGGAATATATATATATATATATATACATATATACATACATACATACATACATACATACATACATACATACATACATACATACATACATACATACATACATACAAACATACATACATACATACATACATACATACATACATACATACATACATATATACATATATATGTATACCTTCCATTTTCGGAAGTCCTTGACGATGTCTTGAATCGGCGCTGGGTCCCCCTTCCTGGCGCGCGGACCGCGCCGTGGGCGGCGCTGAAGGCGCCGCCACATGGGCGAGGCCCTGCGCCGATCCGAGACAATAGTTCGGCGGACCTCCCAAAGTTTGTGTTAACGCCCATCGGGAGACCAACCCGCATCCACGTTGGTGAGAGGTGCCGTTTCTATCGGGCTCCGTGGTGCCTATCCCCGTTCGGAGGCAGCGGGTACAACACGTCGAGCGATATTGAGCTTGTGGTGATTTTTGAGGGAAGCGAAACATACCGCTACCGCTGATTAATTCCACGTTGAAAGTCAAACTTGTCCGTGATAGATGCTGTCTGGGGCAACTCCGGCCCCCGAGGCGCGAATCTGCAGTTACCCCTGACTGCCCCAAGCCCTGATTCGGGAGGGCTGGGCGCCCGAGATATCCAGGATAACTGCGAGCCGCGGGAACTCCGGTTGGAGCCTCCGAGGCGCGGATCTGCAGTCATCCCTGACCGCTCCCAGCCCTGATCATTCGAGGTTCTGACCACGGACCTCTCCAAGGGCCCGTTCTCACCCCAGATTTGCGACGTCCTGATTTTTTCAGGACGGCGTCCCCGGAAGTCCAGACCCTTTCCCCGGAGCCGGCTTTTCGTCCTGAACCGCTTTTTGACGGTCCAGAGGCCCAGCGAGGGCTCCCAGGGGCCGAACATGCCAAACACCTCCCGTCCTGATGTTTGTTTTACGACCCTGGGACCAGAACTGCTGGGAGAATCCTGCCGAGGCGACCAGGGCGCCCTCCAGCACGAGCAGGGCGGCAGCGGCGTGTTCCGCTCGACCACGTCCCCAGGGCGAAGGCTCCTCCTCCTCCTCCTCCTCCTCCTCCTCCTCCTCCTCTTTTTTGAGCTCCACGCGCCCCAAGGACATCACAGAGAGGAACAGACGCCCACCTGCTAAGGGGACGAACAGGGGGCCTCCTCGTCCTCATCCTCCTCCTCCTCCTCCTCCTCCTCCTCCTCCTCCTCCTCCTCCTCCTCCTCCTCCTCCCCCTCCTCCTCCAGGGCGCTCTCCAGCACGAGCAGGGGCGGCATCGGTGTGTTCCCTGGCGTCCGCCGCCGCGCCCCTCTTCTCTCTCGAGCCGCGGCCCCAGAAAAGAGGACCCTCGGCCACGTCTCCCCGGGGAGCGACGCTTGCGGCCCCAGCTCCACTGCCTTAAAAGACGGCCTCGCAGCTGGGCGAAGCCAAGAGGGGCTCCCGCCGTAAGGGGGTGGTGCAGTAGATTGGAGGCAATGGTACTGCAGGTGTAGTGCGCCGGAGAATTGCATTGCATTGTCTTGCAGGCCCTGTACTGCACGCAGAGAAATCCAGCAATACACTTGCGCACCGGAGTGTATTGCACACGCCCCAAAAGTATAGCAACCCCACAAATCGATTGCACCTAATCTGGTGCACCACCCCGTTGTCGCTGGACCACCTTGAGGGTCAACCCGATCCAGAACCTGAGAACGGGCCCAGGAGCAGGATGTTCCAGCCCTTTTCAGCCTTGGTCATCAGAACGAGTCTCGAGCACCAAGAACAATAAACGACACTGGAAGGCCTCCGCGCGCCGGGCCCCGGGAGGCGCTGCTCGGTCGGCACCGTTTCGAGACTTCTCTGGGTGCTCGAGGCTCTTTCTGGGATGTGGTCCTTGAGTACGATGGGAGCAACATGAGCCCAGGAGGCCGACATCGAGCAAACTTTTTGGTCGCGGCCGCAGGCGAGAGCGCAAGCGGCGAGTCGTAAGTCCGGGGCGCGGGCCTACTAATTGACAACAGGAGCAAACTAGAGCCGCGCACATAAACTGCATAAGCTGCCTTAGCGGCGCCTCAAGTGAGCTGCAAGCTGAAAAAACATCGAGCAAACACGCAGCGGGATGGAAACACACGCGTGCCATCGGAGATCTCGGCGTCCCTCCTCTTAGAGGCTTCGGCTCCGAGGCCTGGGTTCCCGTCGGGGCCCCCGGGGGCTGCGGGACAGGCCCGGGGAGGGGGTGGGCCCGGATGTGGACGTGTCGACCCCCATCGCCTATTCAGGGGCTCTCTTGAACAAACCTGGTGCGCCTTTGGGCTGGAGTGCTGGTACAGTATGCGCTCGAACACAAGAACCCTTCCACACGAAACCCAAACCCTGGAACGTCCATTGATTGTTGGTGTGGGAACGCCACGCTTCCCATAGCAAAACCATCGAAAGCCAAGAAACCTAGGGCACCCTGGAGGCAAGCAGGGTGTTTCTTGGCATGGGCCTCCACTGTAAGCAAAGACCGTTGGACCACTTGGAGTCGTGCAATGGCTTTGGTTGTCAAGGGTTAGGTCGGGCATGTCCCCCTACAGGCGGATCTTGGACGAAAAATTAAAACGTAGTCGAAACATCATCAAACATACTCGAACGATTGTCGACACATCGTCCCCAGCCTACTTAACCATCTTTGGGTATTCCTCCTGCAGAGGGACACGCCCGACGTGAGTCCAGGGCCTCGCCTGGTGCTTCCACTGAGGGGTCGATCGCGCGCCCCTGCGGGCCTCGAGGGAGCTCCTCTGGGGCCCGTCGGGGCCGCAGCGCCGAGCGGGGCCCGACGGCCCAACCCACGCAGGCACGCGTGCGGCGCCGCTGCCGAGGGCTCGGCGCTCAGCGATCGGCGAGGCAGCGCTGCTTCCAGGTCGACGCGCGCCCCCATGAGCAAGTCGGCCCCCCCCCCCCTCGCTCCAGATTCTTTTGCTCGGCGTGTCCGCGGCGGCGGCTCCAGCGACACGCGGCTCCTCGTCATGAGGTGGACAGCTCGTCGCGACGCCCCGCCGGCGCGAGGCCGGCAACGGCTCGGGACGTTGACGCCTGCAGGGGCCGAGAAGCGGACAGGGCGTGGCGCCGAGGCGCGCCAGGCCAGCACCGGCGGAGCGACGTGCTGAGCGACACGCCGGGTCCGCGTCGTGACGGCATCGGCGCTCTGCCTCTGACACCACCGGGGTCGTTCTCAGCCTGGAACGATCGGCCGCTCCCGAGGGGTCAGACCGTCCAGCGCATCGGCCGATGCCGGGTCGCTGGCGGCACCCCACCCACAGACAACCGACTGCTCCCATCTTGAGCAGGGGCCGACCGACTCGGCGGCCCACCAAGAAATGTTCTTCGAACCTCAAAAAGGTGACGAGAAGAGAAACAGTGTCCTCAGAACAGAAGCCCAGACTCAACCAGAAATGTTCTAAGAACATGTCGTGCAGACAGGTTATGATCTCATGTTCTGGTAGGCCCACAGGCGAGCCAAGACGCTTCGCCACTGCTTGGAACCGTTCCACATCGACCGATTCTGGTTCGCCAGCGGCACTACGCCCAAACATCCGCCTGCTCCAAGTTTTCCGTGAACCCCGAAGGCCAGGACCACTTCTCTATGGTAGAGGAAAGAGAACTATGCACATACACCGATTCTGGCCAGGCCCATCCTGAGCCCAGGATCGGTGCATACGCCCTCCTACCTTGGCCAGGAAGGCATATGCACCGATCCTGGGTCAAGGATGGGCCTTGCCAGGATCGGTGCATGTGCATAGTTCTCTTCGCCCGATATGGGGCCAATTTTTGTTCGTCCTGGGTCACTCTCTTCGACGCTCCCGAGGCCCGGCGAGAGGCACCTGAGGCCGACAACGGCCAAACTCCGCCCGCTCCAATATCAGAAAAAGATGGAGGAAAAGAAGAAGAAACAACAGAAGAAGAGTAAGAGTAATTAAACACCTCCATACGAAGAAGAGCAAGAAAACGCCCTAAACATCAACTTGTTGGCGCTCCGCGCGGATTTCCTGAATTTGCGCCGGACCCAAACTCCCCGGCGCGCGGAGCGCGCCAGGGGGCGGCACCAGAGACGCCGCCAGGGGAGCCCAGCGAGGATCCAAGAAATCCGCGCAGAGAGCCAAAAGTTTATGATCATGGCGTTGTCCTTCTTCGCAACATATTTTTGTCCAGGCGTCGGATCGCGACGACCCCCAGGGGTCTCGACCTACTCCCCGGACCAGTTTCTCGTCCTGTGCCGTTTCTTGACGGCCCCGAGGCCCGGTGAGGGCCCCCAGAGCACGAAGATATGGCAAACACCTCCCGTCGTGAATGTCTCCTTGCCCGAGGGGGTCTGGGAACGCCGCCCGCTCCAAAATGTGTGTTGTCCGGGCGTCGGATCTCCGGGCTCGTGGCACGCCGGCGCCGCCGAGCGGTCGACGCGGCGCGGAGCGGCCGCGCCGCTCCTGCCAGCCGCACCGCTCGCCCCCCCGAGAGGAGGGGGCCCTCCCCCCGAGGGGGGGGGGCAGGGCTCGGGGGGCCCCCGGAGGCACGGGCCATGGATTGTCCGTTGGTCTGTGGGGGACCTGGGGGTTCTCCCCTCTGCGGCCGCCCGACGCTCCAAGACGGCCCACGGGGCCCCCCAGGATCGCCCTCCAGATGGCCCGACAGACCTACGAGAGGGCTCCAAACTGGTCCAAGAGGGCCCCGAGACAGTCCCGACAGGGCCCGAGGAGGCTCCCAGGAGGCCCCGAAGAGGCCCCTATAAGAGGGGGCCTCCCAGAGGCTCGGCAGCCCTCCGGCCCAACGGAGAAGTTTTTTCGACGCAGGGCGAAGCCAGGGCGAGGACAGGACATCAAGGTGAGGACACCTCGAAAACCTCGGAGATCCCCAGAGGCTCTGGAGGATGTCGCGGGCACCCAGGTACTTCCCCGTGCAAGAACGGTTTTTTGAAGGCAGATCCGCCTTCAAAAAGAACGGTTTTTTGAAGGCAGATCCGCCTTCAAAAAACAATCTTTTGAAGGCAGATCTGCCTTCAAAAAACCGTTCTTATCAAGGTGAGGACAACTCGAAAACCTCGGAGATCCCCATGAGGCTCTGGAGGATGTCGCGGGCACCCAGGTACTTCCCCGTGCAAGAATGCTCTGGAACGGGTTCATCCTCGTCGTAGCCCCGTCCGACTACGGTCGGACCTGGGACAGAGGAACATCCTTCAAGATCATGAGGCCCTCCGCGGGCCAAAACACACAGAGAATCCAAAGGTACCCTCCCCAGCATTCACAAGAACATCCGACGAACATGAAGAGCATCAGGGTGCCCTTCCCGAGCCGCTCTCGATGTCATACCTCGGTCCGACCGTTAGCACTCCCCGAAAACGCAAAACACTTCTCAGCAGGCCAGAACGCTTCGGCGAAGCTCCGCCGCTTTCCGAGAGGGCCTCCTCCCTCTCACTTCTCCCCCCCTCGATCGCCTCCGAACCAAGATCCCCGACGCCATGCTTGTTTCGCCACGTCGACCCTCAGAAGTCAGGACCCCTTCCCCATGGACCGGTTTTCCATCCTTTCCCAAGGTCCTCGCCGATCCGAGAAATCCGCGCGGACCTCCGAGTTCTTATGTTTATGCCACTTGTTGTTCCCCTATTGGCGGTGCCGAGTGCCGGTAAGGGCCTCCAGACTCCGAACATGTGGAGGCAAACGTTTTCTTAGTCGGCGTTTCGGCATTGGGCGGAACAGGGGGGGGGGGAGCGTCTGCCTCCGGGCCTCTGCGGGGCGCGACGGTTTGCAACTCTGCGTCCCATGGGGGGGGGTTCCACCTGCTTGCAGCAGGCGCCAGAAAGCGGCCAAGACCTACTCCATGGGGGGGGGAGGGGGGCGAGGGCCCGCGCCGATCGGCAAAACAAGGAACCCAGATCCCCGACGCCATGATTTTTCCACAACGTCGGCCTTCAGACGTCAGGACCCATTTTCTTCTGGACCGGTTTTTCATCCTGAGCCGTTTTTGCTACGGTTCCGCAGCCCGGCAAGGGCCCCCAGAGGCCGAACATGTGGAGGTGCACTTTTTCCCAACCATCCTGTGGTGTTGGGTCCTCGTTTTGAAGAGACAGCGCCCCGCGTTCCTTCCTTCCCGCTGCCCCCTCCCTCCTCCCATCTTCATCATCATCGTCATCACCCATTTCGGCACACCCCTCACACGTTTCGTGGCCCCATAGGGAGCTCCACCGAAGGTCCCAGTGGGTGTGCCCGCATGCGTCCCGCACACCCATTTCGGCACACCCCTCACACGTTTCGTGGCCCCATGGGGGGCTCCACTCCACCGGGTCCCAGTGGGTGTGCCCGCATGCGTCCCGTTTCGGCACACCCCTCACACGTTTCGTGGCCCCATAGGGAGCTCCACCGAAGGTCCCAGTGGGTGTGCCCGCATGCGTCCCGCACACCCATTTCGGCACACCCCTCACACGTTTCGTGGCCCCATAGGGAGCTCCACCGAAGGTCCCAGTGGGTGTGCCCGCATGCGTCCCGCACACCCATTTCGGCACACCCCTCACACGTTTCGTGGCCCCATAGGGAGCTCCACCGAAGGTCCCAGTGGGTGTGCCCGCATGCGTCCCGCACACCCATTTCGGCACACCCCTCACACGTTTCGTGGCCCCATAGGGAGCTCCACCGAAGGTCCCAGTGGGTGTGCCCGCATGCGTCCCGCACACCCATTTCGGCACACCCCTCACACGTTTCGTGGCCCCATAGGGAGCTCCACCGAAGGTCCCAGTGGGTGTGCCCGCATGCGTCCCGCACACCCATTTCGGCACACCCCTCACACGTTTCGTGGCCCCATAGGGAGCTCCACCGAAGGTCCCAGTGGGTGTGCCCGCATGCGTCCCGCACACCCATTTCGGCACACCCCTCACACGTTTCGTGGCCCCATAGGGAGCTCCACCGAAGGTCCCAGTGGGTGTGCCCGCATGCGTCCCGCACACCCATTTTGGCACACCCCTCACACGTTTCGTGGCCCCATAGGGAGCTCCACCGAAGGTCCCAGTGGGTGTGCCCGCATGCGTCCCGCACACCCATTTCGGCACACCCCTCACACGTTTCCGTGGCCCCATAGGGAGCTCCACCGAAGGTCCCAGTGGGTGTGCCCGCATGCGTCCCGTCGTCTCTCTGCCCAGCGGCAAGAGCCTTGCCCGCTATCAGCCAGCCAGCTAGCTCTTTTTGCTCCGCGCAGTGGACGACCCGCGCGCGTCGCTGGGACCCCTCCGGGGCGACCTGCGCGCGTCGCGGGGACTCCGCGCTGCGCTGCGCCCGCAACCTTGGACTTTTGAGTGCGCGGGCAAAGAGGGAGTAAAGGAAGGGGAGGAAGCGGGCGCGATCCTCGCCGGTGGGCGCGCCGACATTGGCGTCGCGGCGCGCGGGCGATGCCGTCGGGGAGTCCCGGGGAAGCTCCTTGCGGCGGCCACGCCCAGCGTCACGAGTACTCAGAGGCAGACATTGTCAAACTATTGACATTCATACACAATTGCGCCACGCTTTGTCATATTCGCATTCATGCACGTAGACTCGTTCGCACGCAGATTCATTCACAGTCAGACGCACGCGCGCAGATTCACCCGCGCTCAGTCTCCCTACGTACTCAGATCAATCGTTTTCGTTCGCGTTGTGTACCACGCCACTCATGTCGGCACACCCCTAGCACGGTTCGTTGCCTCATAGGGATCGCCACCGAAAAAGTGAATCACTATTGCGGTACTCACACCTGTATATGGTTGGGTCCCTCGTCAGGCTAATTTTTTCGGCGTTTCGACATTGGGCGGAAGGAGGGGGAGGGGGGGGTCTGGCTCGGGACCGCTGCTTAGCGCGACAGTTTGCAGCAGTGCTTCCAAGAGGGAGGCCTCACCTGCTTGAAACATGCGCCAGCAAAATCGGCCAAGACCTACTCCATGGGGGGGGGAGGGCGAGGGCCCGCGCCGATCGGCAAAACAATGAAGCCAGATCCCCGACGCCATGTTTTTTTTTTTCCCAACCATCCTGTGGTGTTGGGTCCTCGTTTTGAAGAGACGTCGCCCCGCGTTCCTTCCTTCCCGCTGCCCCCTCCCTCCTCCCATCTTCATCATCATCGTCATCATCCCCATCGTCGTCATCGTCATCATCATCTGTCGTCATCATCATTATCACCACCCATGTCGGCACACCCCTCACACGTTTCGTGACCCCATAGGGAGCTCCACCGAAGGTCCCAGTGCGTGTGCCCGCATGCGTCCCGCACACTCATTTCGGCACACCCCTCACACGTTCGTGGCCCCATAGGGAGCTCCACCGAAGGTCCCAGT